CTCCCGGAGCCTGCAGGGCGCTGCCCGGTGTTGGAGGAGGCCGAGCTTGCGGTGAACTCCTCTCTCCCCTTCCCTGCTGCAGCCCGCTGGCTGGGCAAAATAACCGGGAGGTGACGAACAACTTGTGTAGATTGATACAGCAGGAGTGGGAGCTGTTAAAAGTGGGACAGGAGGGGTATATATACATTCCACACAGCTTACCTTAATTAACATAAACTAGACACAGCAGTCAGCCCATAAGGAACCTCCACACTTAATGGCTCGCTGGCGCTACTTCACAAACAAAATGCCAGGCGCCATCCTGACTTGTTGACAGACCTTAACACTTCCCGTGGCCCACCCTGGGCGCTGGGTCTCTGGGTGTGGCTGCCCCTTCAGCTCCCCCCACCCCTGACGCTGCACACACAGGAGGCAAGGTTGGGGGCCGAACCGGGGAACCCCGCAGGGGGGGCCGCCAAAAAAAAAAAAAAAGGGGGAGAGCCCTGGAGCTTCCTGCGCCTGGACGTGAGGGAGGGAGCACCTGGGGGGAGGAGGAGGCCAAGCCAGGTGGTGCAGACACAGGGCGAGACCTGCAGGCAGTCTTCCCCATGCCCTCGGTCAGCTCTGGCTGGCAGCAGTACCACAGACCTGTGGCCTAAGCAACAGGAAGGTGTTCTTCCACAGCTCCCGAGCCCCGGGGCCAGCACCCGGATCCCAGGTGGCTCCTCCTTGGCCTCACCTGGGCTTGCAGACACCATCTTCTCTGAACCTTTCCATGGCTGATGGCTGTCCCTCTGCATGTGTCTGTGTCCTAATCTCTTCTTGTAAGGACACTGTCTGGACTGAACTCGGGCCCACCCCCGTGAATTCATTTTAACTCACCACTCCTTAAAGGCGCTAACTCCAAGTGAATCCCACTGGGGTTAGGACTTCAGCACATTGGTGTTTTAGGGCTTCTTGGAGTCCATAACAGCCTGTCTTGAACAAAATTGTCTGTAGCCAGGAGTCACATATCCTGGTGAGGTCACTTTAAGAGGGCCAGGTCGGAGCACTTCCGCCCTTTGGTTCCTAAAGTTCTGGAGGCCAGGAGAGCCCAACTGAGCTGCAACCAGGGCAGTGCTTCCCACAGGCCCAGCCTGCAGCAGCCTGACCCAGAGGCCCCCCTGCATCTGTGTCAGGAACTGAGCTCCCGCCCTGGCCTGCCCCAGATCAGGGTTCCCAGGCCGGGAACCGTGGGCACAGTTTCCACTGACTTGATCCTGTGATCCAGGGTTTCCTAGCTGTTGGTTATGCCTGCCTTTCTGCCCCACAGGCTCCCATGAAAGTCCACTCAGTGTGTAGAGAAAGCCTGGCGACTCTGGGGCTCAGGGCCAGGATGTGAATCTTCACTGCCGTGGATACTGCTTAGAGTTCGCTGGACCTTACCTTCAAGGCGGAGAAAAGCCCACCTGGCCTCATGCACAGACACTCCAGGGCGGCCCTGGGAAGGTGTCAGTGAGCCTGGGCAGGGGTGCCAAGTCTCTGGAAGCACAGCCCCTCTGTGCTCCTTTGGGGTCCAGGTGCAGCTGAGGGAGGCAGGCAGCAGGCAGAAGTTGGTTCAGATGTGGGAGTTAGTGTGTTTGCTGTGGGGTGGAATAGCATGCGTAAAGATCCCCAAGAATCCATGGGCAAGCTACTAGAACTCACAGGTCAAGTTTTAGTTCTTAATAATCGCTTCTCTATACACTGTCATTAGCAATTTGAAATACAATTTTAATAAATTACCACTAGCATCACAGACACAAAATGAATGACGATAAACTCTCTGCACTGAAAATCACAGAAGCTCTTGGAGATAAGTGAAAAATAGCTTGATGGCTTTGCAGTGTCCACAAACTGGAAGCCACGTTGTCGGACGGGTGTCATCCTCTCCAAAGCCATCAGGTAGACCATGCAATTCCAATGAAAAATTCCCAGGGATATTGTGTGCAAATTGATGCACATTCTAAAGCCCATGAAAACAAAAAGGGCCAAGAGTTGCGAAGGTGGTTTTGAAGAAAACAGTTTAGAGAATGACTCCTCTTGTAACACCCCCCCCCAAGCTGTTGGAGATCAAATGGGCAGAAAGGGTAAAGGGCTGCAGCTGCAACACGCCCCCACCTGCTCTCCCCCGCATGACGCTGCTCCAACGGCAGGGCAGCCGCTGCTGCATTGGTCAGTGTAGGCTGCTGCACGCTGGGTGCCTGGACTATGGGGATCCATTTCCTCACAGTTCTGGTGGCTGAAGTCTGGGGTCGGGGTGCAGCGTGGTCAGCTCTGCTCAGGCCTCCTCTGGGCTGCAGGCCACGGCGTTCCCATGTGCCTCACATGGCTTCAGGGCTGAGCAGAGGGTGAACAAGGCTCCCGACGTGGATCCTGTCGGATCAGCCTCCACCGTGACCTCATCTGACTTTAATCATGTCCTCGGAGGCTCCCTCTCCACACGCAGCCTCCCTGGGTTAGGGTTCTAAGACTACACGGGTCCTTCCTCCTTCCCTTCTTGGAATCTGCACGCTTAAGTTGGACTTGTGGCTCACTAGTGTGAAATGTTTTTCTCATACATACCTATGGCTGCATGTTTCCGTTTGGTACTAGGAAAGCTATTTCATATCTGTGTCTACGTAGCGAGAACTTTTATCATCATTCCAGTCTAACTTTGCCATGTCTCTGCATGGTGACACCAGTGGGCAGGGCCCTGTCTCACAGCTGGGTGGAATGGCAACGCAGCCCAGTAGGCGCTGGGTTCAAGCTTTCTGTTTTATGGACATGAAATGCAGCGGCTGGATCCACGGCTATCCCACCTGGGCCACAGCCTGCCCTCGCCCTTGCTGGCACTGTGGCAATGGTCAGATACGTGAGTCTCTGTTCTTCAGCTCCAAACAGGGAACATGAGGCGGGAGCTCCCCTGCTCTGGCTCTGGAGCGCTCTGTTCACAGCGATCCTGTGTTTGCTTGGTGTGTCTTGTGCATTCTGTTTGGTCCTCGGCTGAGTTCAAGGACACTTTGCTTGGAGTTCTGCTCCCTGCAGGCAGCACACTGTGGACTCTGCCCTACTGCAGAAGTCTGTACTCGCGAGGAGGGCTACCTCTCAAGCCTGGAGGGACAGCATCTTTACCTTGCTCTACTTACAGAGAGTGGTCTGCACCTCATCTCAGGGCTGACCTGGCTCCCTGCTGTGGCACAGCCACGCCCTCAGGGCCAATCCCTGACCCCTGGACACCAAGGGATTGATTGTCATCTTACTTCTGCTTCTCTACCCTCTTGGCCTCTGGAGGTTTCTTTGTGTTGAGCTCAGCTATGTATTTGCTTTTTGGGGGGTGCTAGCGATTGAACCCAGGGGCACTCAGCCACTGAGCCACATACCCAGCCCTATTTTGTATTTTATTTAGAGACAGTTGCTTAGTGCCTTGCTTTCACTAAGGCTGGCTTTGAACTTGTGATTCTCCTGCCTCAGCCTCCTGAGCTGCTTACAGGTGTGTGCCACCATGCCCGGCTTCAGCTATGTGTTTTTAAAACACTGTATTTGAATTGTTTTGTCTAATTTTTTCTAGCAACTCCCCTTTAACTGGCCTGCGGCGAGTCTAGACTTGAAGCAGAGCTGTAGCTCATTCTGTCTGCTCTCCTTCCAGTGAGCTGGGGGCTGCAGCAGAATCCTGGCACATGGCCTTCTTGCTGCTGTCTGAAGCTTAGAGCTGTTCCCAGCAGAGCACGCTGCTGTCCCTGGAGGACGAGGTGGGAGGGCCAGGCAGTGGACGTCCTCTTCACTTGGACCTTCAGGGTCACGATGTTTATGAGCTCCATGCATTCTGACTTTCTATATTTGCCTAACAGCCTAGTCATTCAGCTCTCCATTTCCAAGGATCCTCTTTTAGGCTGGTGGTCTCTCATGCTGTCCCTCTGCTTGCCTTAATACATCGGTTAAACTGAAAATCCATCAAGGACCAATTTCTTTCCCAGCATAACTGAATTTTGAAGGCATTTCGGGAATTCTTTGGGAAGAAACTGTGAAAGAGTATGTCAGTGGGTATATTGAACAATCCCAAGAAAAGCATTATTGGGGGACCTTAAATTATTTGCATTCTCTTCTTTGTTTTCTTGAATTTCTTTAAAAGCTTAAATTATAAAAAAGAAGCAAGTATCTTGCACTTTGGCCCACTGCCTGGATCTGCGTTAAGTTGTACCTTATAAATATTCCATAAAGTCCGACGTAATGGGCCTGCCTTTTCCTGGCAGTCAGCCTGTGTGGATGGCATCTTAAATATTTATGCCATTTTTGAAAAATTTGATGAAAACATTTCAGGCATTAATAGTTTTGTTAATAAATTACTCAGCACCCAAACAATACATTAAGAGAATTCTTGAAACCAGTCACTCCGCTGTCCTGCCTCTGACACTTGGCCAGCCACGGCTGCCTGCGGAAACTCAGTCCAGCTCAGCACCCCAGTTGGGACATTTGGAGGGGTGGTGCTGCTGCTGGTTGGACCCCAGTGAGGAGGGACAGCAGGGAGAGGCTCCTGCTGGGCCCTGGGGGTCAGGCAATCCTCCTCTACCTGCCCGGCCAAGACTGCTCATCCTGGTGACATCAATAGTGTGTCCTGTATTGTCATGCACTGGGCAATGCCAAATCATGGAGGCCTTGCTGTGTGCGTCCAGACTAATGTCTCTGGGGGACTTTAACATAAAGGGCAGTTCTCCCCCCCCACGTGCCTGCTCACCTTCAACTTCCTGTGACTCTAGCTCTGCTCTGACTTAGAAAGGTTCAGCTCTCTGGTGATCTTTTGGAATTAGGCTTGTGATTCCCACTCACATCCAGGTCTAGCGACATTGCATAGGTATGTGTGCAGATGAGTGCAGGTTGTGGTTTGTCCAGCTGGGCTGGCTCCAGGGCACCGCCTGGCCAGCCCCGTTACTCGGGAGGATACATGTGCACCTCCTGCCGTTGTGTCCTTGTGCACAGTGCTCTGTGAGTCGGGCTTGTCCCCTTACAGTTTTCTTATCTTTCAGACTCTGGACTTGACGGGAGAATAGCCGGGAACTGCAAGGTGACAACATAAAACCCCAAGGAAACGGAAGTGCAGTGGGTGTGGAGGCTGACCTCTGCTGACCTCTCAGCAGTGTGGGGCCCCTGACTGAGGCGATCCTGGGAATCCAGCATGGGCTCAGCTGTTCCTCTGTAGGAGACGGTGATGCCTGCTCCAGCGTGCAGTGCTTCTGCACAGAGAGGTTCCACACAGCATTCTGTTCTTCAAAAGGTCCTGCCACTGGGGACATCTGAGAACCGACACTGTGGCACGGACACCAGTCTGCGCTCAGGGGCTGCGGTTTCCATCCTGGCTCTGACCAGGCCAGCGCCTGACTCCCTGTGACGCGGGCACATGGGCGATGGTCGGAGTCCATGGAGTGCCTGGCGCTTGCTGTGGACGGTGTGGTGCCAGTTCCCGTCCATGCTGCTGTGTGGTGGTGCTGGCTTTATGTCAGAAGAGTGGACGAGCAGGGGCCCTGGAGGCTGTCAGCGCTCGGGGACCGCAGTGCGCGTCAAGAGTGAAGAGCACTTGGGTGAGGAGAGGTGACCTGTGGTGTGGAGTGGGGCCGTTTTGATGTGTTGACATTCGATTAAAAAGCTGCCACTTGGTTTCCCAGCGAGGAAGCAGCCTGAGGAGGGCGGGAGCCGACTGGCCCTGTCCTCTCTGGTGCCCACGTGGTGCAGGATCCATGGCCGAGTAGTGTGCAGGTTGGTGGTGGCAGTGAGCACGGTGCCTCCTGTGCCGTAGATGCTTGGTCACTGGGGGAGATTCACAGTAATAAGATGAAACCCACCCTCGCTTGGCCACACGTAGGTCCACCTTGGCAAAGCCTCAGTTTGGCTGGAGTCCTGTGGTGGTGAGGGACTGAGGCCAGCTTGGTGTGTGTGACGACAAACAGTTGGGTCTCCTGTGGCCCCGTGATTGGTGTGTGGAGGCCACCCAATGTAAGCGACTGCTGCCGTGGCTGGAGGAAGGCGGGCCTGCTGGTAGGGTTCTGGGCCTTCCTCCTCCTCGTCTTCCTTCTCTGTTTCAGTTGAGCATTTGACTGGAGTCACGTAGGACCCCGTTTTCTCCCCTTCTCTCATATCAAGAATACTTATCTCTACATTTTTTCTCTGTGGTCACCCTTGGTGGTTTCTTAAACGGGCCTCTGAAGCAGTCTCTGTCCATTTCGGATGGCACTGTGCTTCTTGATGACTCATGCAAGGAAGGGGCGGGAAATGCCCAGCCCTCCTGCTACCAGAGGTCTCTGTCATGTGCTCTGGTCTCCCAGCACGTTGGGGTGCTGTCACGGGGGACAGCGGCTAATTGACCACGCCAGGATGAGAGTGGGGTCCCACCTGACCTCCACGTGCGCTCTGACGCCTTCACCACGCCTTCTCCTCAGTGAGAAAGGAGGGACCGGCCTCTCCAGGTGGGAGGACTGAGGGGCCTGGGACAAGCTCTTCCCAGGCAGGGCTCCCCGTTGGCTTGTCCCTTGAGAACTGGTGGGGTTTACAGGGACACCCATGGAGGTGTGGCCCTGGGAAACTGTCACCTGCATGCAGTCGTGGGTGGCTCCTCAGACTCACCACGAGGTGTCCCACCCACGTGGGGTCAGCCCTGCGGCTCCGGGCGAGCTGAGGTCACTCTGCAGTTGTGGGGCAGCGGGTGGCCCTGGGACCTCAGTGCTTTGATGGACCCGAGGAAGGTTCTCGCCTCTCCACTCGTTAGCTCTGTTCTGCTGTGAGGACAGGAGGGACAGCTGCTAGCTCTTCACGTGTCGGTGGCTAAGGAACAGTTTTGAAGTTTCTTATATTTGTTTATTTTTCATAGAGTTTAATAATTTTTCTTTTAAAATATTTTATAAACACTTTAGAAGCCAGATTAGATATCCTATCCCAAACACTACCTTGAATTTTTTTGTTAATTTTCCCTTTTCTGTAGATACCGTAGAGTCCTTCCATCTGGGAGTGTCAGTGGAGTGTCGTCTACACAGGGTGCTCCACGCTGCAGAGTGGCAGGAGGAGAAGGCCGCTGAAATTGCCCTCACATCACTCCTGTCCTTTATCTTCCACCTGATCACCTGTGGCCATCCAGCTGTGACACTTCTTCACATGCCCCTCCACCCACCTGTGACATCACACACTGCTTTTGGTCCCTGGAGCCCTGGGCATGAAACCTAAATGAGAGACGGTGCAGGAGAGAGGTGGCCCCTGCAGGTGTCCAGTCCTCCTGAGGGAGCGGAGTTGGACACTGCTGGGGAGACACGGTGGGTGTCTGCCTCGCACACTCGCACACAGGCCCCAGGGCATGTGGCTGGGCGTGACCTATGCTCGTGCAAGGCACTTCAGGTTCCCGTGGCCCGCCAGCCTCGAACCTGCATGGAGCAGGTGACATTCAGAAAAGACTTCTCTCCTGGCCAGCTTGACTTCCAGTCAGTGTGCTGGTCCCCAAGGTCACTGGGACATCCCGCAGACTCCGACCACCAGCAGCGCGCTGAGCGAAGTGTGGCTTCCGTCGGTGTCCTTAGGACTCCATTTCACCCTTCAAAATTCGGGAGCAGGAGGGCGGGAACAGCTGGGCGGTTCTCCAGGCCCTGAGCTGTGTCCTGCCCTCTTACGTTGTTATCTGAGTTCACGCTGCGAGCCCTCAACTGCAGAGACAGAGCTGCAGGTTTTGAAAGTGTAAAAGAAAAACACGACATTTTTCTTGATGGTATTTCTAATTTTCAAAATCCTGCTTCACCTCATGACAACGGACCTCAGCCCTGTGCACCGGGCCCTAACCTCTCCAGTTCCTCGCACGGGGACAGGCTTGCGACGGCTTCTCTGCGGGGGAGGCGAACCTTTGCTTTTCAACCTGGAGAACTGGTTTGCAGAACCTTTCCAGCCCTGGACTTGTGAGTGGGCAGCCTCAGCACTGCGGTTCATAGACACCACGTGAACGCTCTCATTTAATTGTGCTTCTGACAGTTCTGGGGGCGGTGACAGCTGACCACTTCTGTGGAGCAGGTAGGCAGACCTATTCTCTGCAGACGGGACCCGTGCATCAGAAGGCCACGCAGAAGTCTCCCAGGAGCACGTGTGGGCAGAGCTTGAGTCCAGGTGGGGCCAGTGTGGGGCTTTGTGGACACGAGTGGCGTGGTGGTGTGGTGTGTGTATCTTGTGAATTGTGTTGTGTGTGTCATCTGTGTTGTGTGTATCATGTATGTTGTCATGTGGGTTGTGTGTATTATGCATCATGTGTCTTGTCATAAGTGTTGTGTGTATCATGTGTGTTGTGTGTATCATGTATGTTGGGCATATCATGCGTGTTGTGTATTGTGTGTGTTGTCGTATGTGTTGTTTATCATGTGTGCTGTGTACCATGTGTGTTGGGGTATCATTGTGTTGTGTATCAAGTGTGTTGTTTATGTGTTGTTTATGTGTTGTTTATCATATGTGTTGGGTGTATCGTATGTGTTTCCTATGTGTTGTGCGTCTGTGTGGAGTGTGTATGTGCTGTGTGGAGTATGTATGTGTTGTGTGCAGGTCGTGGCCAGAGCAATTAAGCAAGAGGAAGGAATAAAAGTTGTCACAACTTTTCTGTTGTGAGACTTTTCTGACCATGTGAGACCTTTCTGTTCACGGAGGCGACCCTGCATGTCGATACTCCTGAGGAATCCATGACAACACTGTCAGAAACAACGACAATGGAAGAAACACCAATGTTCAGAATACAAGCAGACAAGCCTGGGGTGCGTGTGCCGCCCGTGCGCTGAGGCCTCGTCCTCCCTCCCTCCTCCCCTCCTCCTCAGGCAGGGCTGCTGGCCCGCCACCCACCCGCCCGCCTGTCTCACGGCCACCTGACGCGCCTGTGGCAGCCCCGGGTGACCGACAGCACCGTCTGCCATGGGGTCCTCGCACTGCCTAGAGCCAGCTCTCGGCTGGCCAAGCCACTACCCACGGAGGCCTTAGACCCTCCCTGTCCGCGGCTCGATGTCAGCAGCCCTGTCACGGCTCCGGTGCCCACCGTGGCCCTGCTTCAGTCCCTGGGCTCCAAGGCCAGGTGGCTGCTCTCCACAGCCGCCCAGGAGCCTTCTCTGGACTGTCTCTGTCCCACCGTGTGGAGGGCATCTTCCCCGTTGTGCTGAGTGGCTGGGCCTCCGTCCTCTTCTGGTCCCTGGTCCCTCCAGGTGCAGCGAGGTCTCAGGCTTCCTTCCTGTCTCCCACTCTGCTCAGGCACCGTGCCCAGCTTCCCCTGCCCAGCTTCCCCTGTCCAGCCTCCCCTGCTGCTTGTCCACCAAGAGGGTCCACCTGTGTGCACAGCTCAGGTGTGGCCACTCCAGAACGTCCTTGCAGGTCCACCAGCCTCTCAGAGTCCATTGTGATCTGAGCCATTTGCTCTAACACCTTCCTTCTGGTGGAGCCTCTGTCCCTCCACAGAGGCCCATGACCTGGAGTGGCCCTGTCACGGGCCATCCCCAGGGAGCTGTAGCTGAGGTTTCGGGGCCCAGACCCCTGTCTGTACAATGCTGGTTAGAAACTGCGCCCTCCTCCCAGGGCTGTGGGGCGCCCACTGAGGGGGGCTCGGCATGCAGAAGGCGCTCGGCAAAGCTTCGACTCTGGGTTTACAAAAGTGGATCATTTTGTGCACTATTTTGTGGGCCTCTTTTCAGTGGTGCCCCCGTTTATCAAAAACCTTGCTTGGTCGTGCAGCAGCACCGTGGCTCTTGCTGAGCCCGCTCTTCTGTGCGCTGGGCTCGCCCTGCTCTCCTGCTTCCCTTTGGCCGGCCGTCTGCAGCTGGCTTCCTGGGGTCTTCCGAGCCAGACCCTGGAGGTGGCTGGTGGCTGTTGTCCTAAGCCTCTTCCTTGTCACTGTGTGGACTTCTTGCTGGGCCTCACTCCACAGCCCTGGTGAGGCCTGCCTCTGGCCAGCCAGACCCCTTGGCTCAGCCCCAGGACCGCCGGCCTTCAGGGTTCTCCAGCCCAGGAATGGAGACTGTCCACCTGGTGTTCCATGCCAGAAATACGGATGTGACGTCACACCCGACACCCTTCTCTTCCTCCTTCCCACTTCTAACAGTCCCAGCCCAGAGACTCGACCCTGACCTTGTCACTAGCCCCTCTGACCTCCCTGCCCATTACCTGGTGCCTGATGCCCTGCTTGTCCCTCAAGGTCCTTCCCGCCCTGCATACACTGTGACTTGTAAGGAAAACCTGGCTGTCTGTCCCTAAGAACCTTTCAGTGTGACCCGTGCGCTTCCTCCTGCCCTGGCTCCTTGCCGTGAGCCTGGCTGACTGGAGCCCTGCGTCTCCCCCTTTGAACTTTCTGTCGCTCCGTCCTCTGCTCTCTCCTGCCTCTGGGTGGTCAGACAGCTTGTTCTCTGGGACCAGCACCCTCTCCCCTGCGCCTTCCCTCGCATGCTGAGGTGGGCCCCCTCCAGAGCCCCCGTGCCTCCCCAGCAGGTGAGTCCTTCTGGGCTTCCCCAGCCTGGGCTTCCCCTGGCCTCTGGGATGTGCAGGACAATCTGTTCTCCACCATTGCTCCCTCTGGGCTCTGCATGGCATCTGGCCCCTGCAGGACTCAGGACACTTGGCAGAACACAGGGGGTGTGTGTCCATCTTCAGACCCACCTCGCAGGTGGGGACACTGAGGCGTAGGAGGGTTGGGTGGGGACACGATCTCAGAGCTGGCCAGTGGGTGTGCCAGGATGGGAGCCAGGGCCTGCCCTCTCCACAATACCACAGGGTGCCAGGGTCTCGAGACAGCACGCGCTGGTAGAGGAGATGAGTCGGGGTGAAGCCAGCAGCAGTCCAGACTGCCTGGGTCTGGCTTCTTTGGCTCAGCATGGTGTACTGAGTTGACCTGCATGGCATGGACAGGTGGCTCCTTTTCATTGGTGGACTAGCCCTGCATGGCATGGATACACCACAATTTAAGGCAGAATGGAGAGCCTCTGACTTTGACCCCGGGCCGAGTGGCTTCCTACTGCGGGACGCGAGGCTGTGGGAAGTGCAGGCTTCGTGGCTGTGAGCTTGGTACAGTATTGCTTTGAACCTCTGAGTCCTCTTGCCATTCTTTCGTTCATTTACTTCTTCTGGGTGCTGGGTTTGAACTTGGGGCACTGCATATGCTGAGCACATGCTTTGCTGCTGAGCTTCACCCCAGGACCACATTCATCTGATAGCTAATCACTCAGCATGTTTGCCCCCTCGCCCAGCAGAGGAGCACCAAGCATTCCTCCTGTGCAGGAGCTGCCCTGCACTGGGAGACGTGGGGCAGCCCGTTGCCCCAGGAGCTGCCCTGCACTGGGAGACGTGGAGGGAGCCTGGTGCCCCAGGAGCTGCCCTGCACTGGGAGACGTGGGGGGAGCCCAGAGCCCCAGGAGCTGCCCTGCAGAGCTCGCAGTCAGCGAGCACGTCGGCAGGACGTGTGGTGTCTGTGGCTACTCAATACAAGAAGATACTAAACTTTGGAAGGAAAGGAGGAGGTCTCAGGGCAGAATGCAGCTCAGGGGAGCGACTCTGGATAACCCCGTGAGGATGACAAGGGGCCCGTCATGCAGGTGTTTTGGGGACTGGTTCCACATGGAGGTCAGGACTGCCTTGCAGCCATGACCAGGTGGAGTCGACCACCATGGCTGAACCCTTGTCTTAGGCACTTCAGGGTGCTGCAGTGGCAGAGCTCAGTGACCACTGTCATGCCCACAGGGGACAGGCCTGCTACTTGCCTGGGTGTGGACTGACTTGCTGGAGTGGATGGCAAGTTTAGTGTCACAGGCTCAAAGTGAGAGTGGCCAGTCCTGGCCAGGGGTCGATGAGGCGAGAGGGAAGGAAGGCTGGGGCGGCTGGTCAAGAAGGGCAGGGGTGTGGAACTGACCTTATACGGGTGGAGAAAGAACAGAAGGGGCCAAAGACTCTCGGGGGTAAAGTGACCACTCGGGGACAGCAGGGTGCAGATGGGAGCTGGCCGGGGGCTGACTGTGGTTTGGACAGGGCTGGAGGCTCAGTAAAGGGATTTTACAGGGCATGATGGGCCTCAGCCACTTACCTGCTTAGGGAACAAAGACAAATCCAGACTAAAACATGGTCCAGCTGAGTCGCAGAGGGCCAGTGTGGAAGGTGGCCAGGTACCACTCTGCACTGACCGGCACGTGGAACGGGAGCAACAGCCAGGCAGGACACAGGGCCACGGCAACAGCGGGTGGCATGGAAACAAGCTGGTGCCCAGGTTCCAGGGAGATGGGCTAACAGGGAGGTGCAATGGAAGGGGCAGGCGGGACGGGGCTGCACTGCCGGGCCTGGGCATTGTCATTCCATCCCTCTGGCCTTCTCCCTGCCCTGTTTTGAAGACGCTGCGGTTTGCTCCTGTCTGCTCAATGCTGGCTGCTCTGACGCTGAGTGTGACCCTCACGTGGACAGTAACGCCTCT